GCTGAGGTGCGGGAAAGCCAAGTGTGCTTCACAGGGGTGAACTTTTGGTTTTCCGAGACTTAATAGGTGTCCGCGTGTAGAGGGGAAAAGTCTCTAAATGAGAAAGTGAGGGGATTTCCGGATGTAAAGGTAATTTGAAGGGGGCCTTGTCCTGTGCCCTCCTTGAGCTAAGCGGTGTCCAAAGTGACCGAGAGCGGAGAAAGGAGGCCCGGTTCCTAGTGCGGAGGAGGCTTCCCGGTAGCAAGGGAACTCCTCCCATGTATCCTGGGGAAACGAGAGCGCAGCTGTGCACGCCAGCTCGTCCCACCCCTCCTTGCCTCCTTTTAGTTTTTCCAATGGGGATGTAAATATCGGAGGGGCGGAAAAGAAAGCGGACGTGTTTCCGCCCGGTTTCGAACCGGGGACCTTTCGCGTGTGAGGCGAACGTGATAACCGCTACACTACGGAAACCGAACTGGCGCTAGCGCTTAACAGTACGTCCAGGAAAACCCTATCCTGCCCACCAACCCTTTAAACTGAGAGTGAAACGCTCGAAGCGCCAGCAATACCTCCAGCAAGAGGACTGCAGTCCCAGAGAGGCCCTGGCTTGGGGCTCCGCACCTCCCCCCTGCCCCACCCCGCCGCAGCCAGGACAGTTTGGTTTCGGGTTCCCGCATCCAACGCAGGGTCTCTCCTTCCACAACTAAGCGCCCGGGATCAGGGGTCGCCCTGCTAACTCCCCAGCTCCCAGAACTTCCATCTGCTTTTTCAAAACAGATTCTCTTTCTCTGCTGGAAAAGATTTATCATGTCATCTATTTTCTGAACGGCTAAAACATATCACATTAAGCTCCTATCTGACAACCTCAGTATCTCAATCCCCTGTGAGTCAGTCTCTGCGGGATCCTTTTCTCCCCTTCTGCTTCTATTCCTTTGTAGTCCTAGACTACTGTGACTGGAGGGGGAACCTATTGTGTGAAAAATGGTGGCCGGTTTCATGATCTCTTTCTCTCAAGATTGTTCACCCTCTTCCCCAACATTCTCCAGGATAGACCGTACACTAAGCCTTATAATATGCCCCAAAACATTTCAAAGGACTTGAATTGCATACAGTTTGGGACAGCTCACAGACCAGAACTATAGTCTAGAAGCAGGTTGGCAAGTAGTGTAGGTAGTTTGTCCTCCACCCTCACTTTGTCATGAATGTTCAGTGGCACATATGGAGGTGGCCGTGGTCATATACGTGGAGTCCACTAGCTTGGAACAGCTAGGCAGCTGAAGGGAAGAGAGAGCTATTTCAGGGAATTTCCCTCGTCTTGGCTCACAAAACCAGGAAGAAATTGATAGGTTGGAAGTTAGGAGAGGTCAGGGGATTATTTCTCCTGCCTGCCTATGCCTCTCCATAAAACCTCAGCTTCTATGCCACTAAATCCCACTGCACAGGAGTACTGTGGGTCACCACTAACTACCACAGACCCAAGATCTGGATGTTTACCACACTCTGAGAAAACAAGAACAGGTCAATAAGTTTGGGTCAACACAAGCCATCGCTCAGTGTTCTATACAAACTACTCTGGACGTAAAGAATAGCACTAGTTTACAAAGCACCCCAAATTATGTGGCCACTACAAGTGTTCAAAGAAACATACAAAATCTACTTCAATGACTTTGACAAGTGGGGAAGAAAGCCTTTCGCACTAGAATGACATCCATAAGGGATAAGCATGGAATATGCATATACAGATTAAAACACAAAGGAACCCACACATAGAGGAGGAGGGTGGGGCTGGGAGATAGGGAATGTCAAAGCCGACTCCAAGTTTAACGAAAAGCCTAGTTGCTTTCCCGTTGAGGAAAAAGAAGCCATCATAACATCAGTCTGCAGTAAGAAGTTAATTAAGACACAGTCTTGCCAGTAACCCTTATAAATTAATTATTCATACATGGAACACAGTGTTACATTTGGGATATTTTCCTCAAAATAGTAAAACGGGGTGGAAAAAAACTAGCAAACCAAAAACTCCAAGAGTATCTAAAAGTCTTAAATTTTCCATGAGGAAAACTGACTTTATAACAGTGTTTAAGACAATGAAAGAATTTGAGAAATATCAATTCCTTGATGATTTATATGCTTGCAAGAATAAACAATAACAAATAGTTTTTTACATTTTAGGAAGAGATAGGTCTGTGGTATCAGCACGTGGATACAGACATACTGAGACTGGCTGCGGAGGGGGTGTCCCCATCAGTGGCGACCTTCAGAACAGCCCAGGCGGCCTTGTGTATCGGCGTGGCCTAGGCAGCTGGAAGACAGGGGCCCCCAAGATTCCACGACGCCCTCCACCTTCCAGTTCTGTTCTGGGCCTCCGCATGGTTACCTGGCCGGCTGGGTCCTCTCTCTGGCGCGCTCAGCATAGCCTGACCTCGGAGCTCTGGCGTCTTGTGCCTTACCTCCGTGGTGAAAGCCCCTCAGAGCAGTGGAATGCTGACGAAGTCTGGCCCAAAAGTAAGTAATGAATTACATCTGCATTCTTTAGATATGTTTAAATACTTTTCTTTTCACTTAAGGAAACTTTATTGAAGCATAATTTACATACTATAAAACTAGCCCACTTGTACACTTCAATGATTTTTAGTAGTTTACCAGGCAGTGCAACCATCACCATAATCCATTCACTTGTTTTGAGTTTATTATTTGTTTGGGTTTCTTCTCTGCAGGGTCTGGCTCTGTTTCTTCCACCACAAGCTTCAGCATGGCAGCATCTCTCACCTCTTTCTCTGGCTCGAGGACAGAAATGAGCATCCTGGAAATCAACCAGAACTTGCGCTGCCAGCTGGAAAAAGTCAAACAGGACTTTCGAGACCTCACAGAGAAATTCCTCACATCCAAAGCTACCGTCTACTCCCTGGCCAACCAGCTGCAGAAATACAGTAAGCCTTATGGGGTCATAGTCACCAAAGTGATAAATGATTGCCCATCTTCCCTGCAAGAAACGAAATACCCTCCAGACTTCATTCTTCTCTCTCTTCCATCAAAAACAAACCTGATTGTACTCCTAGAAAGGTAGAAATGGGTATTTTACCTTCAATTTGCAGAGGATGGAAACACTGAGGCACAAAGGAGTAAAGTTTGCAGTGAGCGTATGGGAGGAATTGAGCTAAGATCTTGGCTCAGGCACTCAACTTTCTTTTCTCTCCCAGGAACGTGTGGCAGATTCTACAAACCTATAATCTCGTTGTAGGCTTAAATATCTCAGGATTAAATTCAGTCTTTGACTGAGCAGCCACTTGCAGAGCACTGTGCCGGCTGCCCTGGGGAGAAAGAAGTGATAGGACACCCTACCTTAAAAGAGCTTAAATCTGTCTGTTCCCAGCTGAGCCACAGATGTCTGGAGGTGAGAGTGTGACTGGCAGACACAGAGGGAAGTCCTGATGCCTGGGGCAAGATTCTTTTCGCACATAAAGTCTGAGAAGCCATTCCTCAGCCTCTGGTGAGATGGAGGGTATTTCCAGGAAAACCAGAGACTCTACAGCACCTTTGCTACCTCTCTCTGAATGTGAAGTTCACAGACAGCAAGCAAATCCAGGATCTGGGCTTTGAGACAAATGGCAAAATGAGAATGAGGCCAAGTGGAGGAGACCTCCAGGCCTCGTAGCAGGCAGGGCAGGGCAGGGGATGGCCCTTCCCTCTCCACCATCAGCTTTCACATCTGGAAATCCACTGGACCATTTCAAACCTGTTCACCATCGAAGGGAGGGTGGAGCTGTAGTGGCTGAAGGACCATGGGAGCAAGTGCTTGAGGGGACAGGGGGAAAACGGGAGGATTCTTACTGATATTGAACTTGAGTTGGCTTTCAAATTTCTACAATCATTTTTCAGTAAATCAGTGAGGGATAAAATTTGCTATCCAACTTACTGACGTGGACAAAAAAGTAAAAATTAAAGCCTATTTATCAATGACGTGAAAAGACCAGCTTTGGGGTGTGCGAATATAAGGGTTTTGTTTTTGTTTTTGTTTTTGTTTTTTTGAACTTAATTTATTATAATCATAATACAACTTTTTTGAAGCTAGAGAAGAAGAAAGATATCACCCACTATCTTCCTGTCAGGGTACTACTACAGTGCTGTGATTAAGAGCCAGGCTTCCTGGGTCCAAATCCAAGTTGCTTACCTTCTCTGTGCCTCTGTTTCCGCATCTGTAATGGTAATAAGAATAGTGGCTACCTCTTCAGGTAGTGGTGATGATTGCGTGATGATGATTCTTAAAAATCTGCTAGAACAGTGCCTTGGCAGACATTAGTTCTCCCTCCAACCTAACACACCTGTTAGCATTTGAACATCTGTCTTTCAGACATTTTCATCTTCAGATACATTTTTACACGATTTTATCCAGATAAACTTTTACATCTTTGAAATAC